ACTTGTATAGCTTAATGGCTAATTACCTTTTGAAACTACAGAAGATCCGAAGTACTCATATTTGCAATCACAGAATTTTTATAAAAGAGACTGTGAGGAGCTAAAGACCTTAATTAAAATGAGAAGACTCTTAAAAGAGGTTAGAGAACAAAGAAAAAGAACCAAAACCATGGTCTCTAATCCTTCAGAAACTACTTTTAGCCAAAACAACCCATATATTAACCAAGAAAATACAGATGATAAACAAATTGCAGAGTCATCTAAAACTTCATTGGATAGAGACTGCTATGAAAACAGACCTCCATGTTTCTACAAACTCCTCCAACTCATTAGCAGAAGTGGAAGCAACACCAGCAACTACTACTACCTCCACAAATGGCTTTATCCAAATGAAAATAGAATCTCAAAAAAAAACTCTCTCTCTTTCTCCACCACCGGATAGTGGAGAGTATAGAAAAAACAAAATGTCAAACAAAACTAAATACTCGACTTCTAAACTACTATCAAGGGTTAAGGCTCTTGTACTCATGAAACGTAAGCAAGTATGCTTAAACATATCAAGTTCTACAGCAACAGAACAAAGCAGGAAAATTAAAAAAGCCAGAACTTCTAATGCAAAAAAAACAATGCTAACTATAACCCAAAAGGGCATAATGAAGTTTTAAAGCTTGCTGAGACAAGTTAATATATGGGCCGTCAAAAGTAGAAACCAGAGAATTTGGCTGATCACGGGTTTTGAGTAAATCAGCAAAAACTATTTTGTTATACAAAATCAAAACAATCTAAAAATAGTTTATTCAATATTAACAACCCTGTTTAAACAGGATTATTAATTCTGTAGATCACTATCATACTAACATTTGCACCGGTAAATCTATTTTTAGATTATGGCGTCAAAAACTTTTAACCATTGTAGCGCAAAAATTTATTAAATGATCAGACTTTCATTATTAAGTAAAAAAGATTGGGCTTTAAATTTTATACATGAACAATCAAACAGATTAATTTTCAAAAAATTGTCAACATAAAAACTTTCTCTCTCTCTCCACCACTGAATAGTGGAGAGTATAAAAAAAACACAACGACAAACAAAACTAGATACTCGACTTCTAAACTATTATCAAGGGTTAGGGCCCTTGTACCCAGGAAACGTAAGCAAGTGTGCTTAAACATGTCAAGTTCCACAGCAACAGGACAGAACAGGAAAATTAAAAAGGCCAGAACTTCTA